TAAAAAAAAAAAAAAAAAATGAAAGAACCATAAAAAGTTTAAACATTTCATGAAAATAACAACAAAATAGAGCTTAACAAAGTCTCTGTTATTTGCAAAAAAGATAATAAATTTATGTTCGACTTTCGCAAAGAAAAAAAAAAAATTCCCTAAATCAATAAATTTAAATGAAAAGAAAAAAAAAATTGGAAAAAAGAGAACGACGAAATGATTGTTAATTTGATAAAATTTTTTTAGAGATAGTTTTTTTTTTTTTAAAAAAAAAATATAAATAAATCATTTAATATTATCAATCTAAATCAATTATCCTTTCCGTTCTTTCAGTCCAAAATTCATAATTCATCGAAATATCATTTTAATTTAATTTAGATATTATTATTATCGATTGAGAAGTAAATTAATAATAAATTAATTTCATTTAGATATTATTATTATTATTATCCATTGAGAAGTAAATTAATAATAAATTAATTTTTAGTAGAATTAATAGTATTATTTTTTTTCATTAAAGGATAACTACGATTAATTTAATCTATCTTGATATTATTATTTCTTTTTTCATTTTGACTTTTATAATTTCAAATATTCATTTAAAAAGCAATAATTAATTAAGCAACAGATGACAGTTTTTTTTCGACGAAATTCTTGACATTTTAAGTTTATTATTTATTTTATTCGATATAAAAATTTTATTACAGCGTAGATTGAGTTAATTAATTAATTAACATGTAATAATTAAAAATGGTAATTTATGCAAAGCCAACAAATAAAAATGAAAAATGTAAAATTTAATCTTCTAATTGATAACATGATTATAAAGCTGATTAATATTTCAAAAGCATTATTATAGCAATTAAATTTTATTATTTTTTTTTTGCATTAATTATTTATAATTTTTTTAGTTAAATAATTTTTAACCTCTAGTTAATATGAAATTCTTTGTCAATCGAAAAAAAAATATTTTAGTTAATGTGAAATTTATTATTAAAAGAGAAATATTATTTAAAAAAAGAAATCTAAATCATATTTTTAATAATTAAACTGCTACCATTTTACAAATTTAAATAATCTGTTGCAAAAATTTAAATGATAAATCTAAATTTGTTGCTTCATTAAAGCTTATAGGAACATCTAATGCTGCAAATAATAAATGAAAAAATATTTTTTATGCTTTAAATAAAGGATTTGAATAAATTTCAGTAATCAGTGAATCTTGAAAATAGCTTATTAAAATTATTTTAAAATTGTTGAAAACAAATAATATTAACAAATGTATAAAAGATTATAATCAGAAAAGTATTTTATGATATAATTTAAATACAAAATGTTTAATTCATTTATTTTTTCACACAATTATTCTTTCATTTTTCTTTTTTCTTCGTTTTATAAGAGAAAATAATAAAATAAAGGAAGGAATTATTTAGGAATGAAGTAAATGTGCAGGTAGATAAGTTGAAATGATAAGTAATAAAAAAAAAAAAAAAAAAAAAAAAAAAAAAAAAAAAAAAAAAAAAAAAAAAATAAGAAATGATAAGTTAGTATTACTGAGAAAGGTAGATAAGTTGAAATGATAAGTTAGTATTACTGAGAAAGGTAGATAAGTTGAAATGATAAGTTAGTATTACTGAGAAAGGTAGATAAGTTGAAATGATAAGTTAGTATTACTGAGAAAGGTAGATAAGTTGAAATGATAAGTTAGTATTACTGAGAAAGGTAGATAAGTTGAAATGATAAGTTGGTTGATAAGAATGATAAGAAATAGAAAACAAAAAAAAAAATGTAGAAAGAAGGATAGAAAAAAAAGGAATGAAATCGAAAAACATTTCCCTTCTGATGTGGAAGCTTCCACTTCATACAAATAAGCAAAAGCTAACATCCATCAAGCATTGATCGAAAATGATCGTTTGCTAAAGTAATGCTCAAATAATTCATAAATTTAAGCAAAAATTTGTTGAGCATAAAAAAGATTAAAAAACAACAAAAATTGCAATTGTTGTGAATGAATAAAATTAATTATTACTCTAACAAGAAATGTATACTTTTAATTTCACATGTAATTATCATATTTTAATTATTTATTAAATTTATTTACAAATTAAAAACAATGAAAAAAAGTGTTGTACAGAAATATTTCCATTCAGAATTTATCATTTTTAATTTTTTTTTTCCTTCTTTTTTGTAATAAATTTGTGAAAAATTGAAATTATAAATTGGTTCTAAATATAAAAATAATCATATTAATTCATTTAAATATAATAGAATTTTTCTTTCTATTATAAATTTTAGTATTAAAATGAATGATTGAGTGTTTGAAATATGTGAAAGATTTATAGTAAAATGTATTATTGCATAATATTTAGTAGTTTAATAATTAAAAATTTTAAAAATTGTATAAAAGAAAGATTTGAAATTTTAAATTCATTAGCATTTCTTTTTTATGGAATGAATAATAATTATAGCATCGATAACACACACACACACACACATCAAATAGTGCGATGAAAATGATAAAATATGCAAAGGTTTTCTTTGAGAGAAAAGAAAAAGAAATGAAAAGGCCTAAAAAGGCGTTAAGGCTGAAGTACTCGTAGCTAGGCCTTAAAGCTGAAGTACTCACAGCTAGGCCTCATCATTAAGGAAACGAATTTAGGCCCATTCAGATGGATTGCTGCAAGGCGTTCCAATTCTATTTCACTTCTAAATAGTTAGCTGTCAAAAAATGAAAATGCTTCTTCTAAATTCTCCTGAATATATATATATATTCATATAAAGATATTTACATATATATATATATTGTGTGTCTGTGTTGTCTTGTCTAGCCTAGTTCAGTCTAGGCTAGCCTAGTTTAATTGGAATGCTTATATGGCTTCTTCTTGGCCTAAGCATCCATCCTCTTTTCATTTCTTCTACGAAAGCTCATTTACACTTCTTCATATTTATTTCATCAAAAAATTTCAAATTATCATTTCAAGTGCAAAAAAAAAAAAAAAAAAAAAAAAAAAAGAAAAGGAAAACTTTTTATAAATTATATATATATGTGAAAATTTATGAGAAATACATAATAGTAACTTTTATGATAATTGTTATGAGATTAGATCAAAAATAATGTAAGTGATCTGTTATATTATTTTTGTTATTTTTATTTTTATCGATTGATTGATTTTATTCATTGATTGAAAATTAATTACTTTATTGATTCATTAATGTTTGTAAATATTTTGTTGATTTCTTACATTTGAGCTAATTTTATTCGTTAATTAATTAATTAATTAATTTTTTTTCATATTGCTTCAATTTTTGATTAAAAGCATTTTTCAAATATTTATGCATGCATATAGACTTAAAGGCATTACAAAACTAATTTGATTAACATTTTTCTTTCCTTTTATTTATTCACACTGAAAATTTTCATATTACTTTTTCATTTGTAAGAAATAAAAGAAAAAAATGCTTAAAATTTTTTTCTTCATTTAAAGCTAAATTGATTCATTCAATGCGCATACAGTCCTGAACATTTGCGCATCTATTATAAAGTTATTTGCTAATTGCAAGAATAAATTACTGATGAAAAATTAACATAAACAAAAATTATGCAAAGTTTATTTCAATATTTCAAACTTTTAAAATTAATTTATACTTCAAACTCAACAAATGATAAAAAATAATTGTTTCAAACTTATTTAATTCGAGAAATTATGGTGGAATACGTTAAATGGCAATTTTTTATTGTTTTAATTTTTTAAATTTTGGTTTTCACCTACTTTTTACTTATTTTTTTTTTCTTTGCCTTTGAATTACTTTCTCAACAATGAGAAACAACAATTTCAATTTATCATTAACATTACTCTATTAACATTTCAAAAATGTCAATCTAAATTCTTTTCACTATATATAAGTTAGCTATTTCAATTGAAATATGTCCATATAAGATTTAATTTACTGAATTTACTCTAATTACTTCGTTAAAATTTAAAGTTCAAAAGTTCAAAAGGTATTTCATACTATGAGAGAGATAATTTGATATTTTATATATTTTAGTTAGTTAATGATTTATGATGCAGTTCAATCTCAAATGCACAATTCATACTAAAATTAAATCTCTAGAGTTTTGGGAAAGCCAAAAATTTAGCTTTTATAAAACTTAAATTATATGCAAAAAAAAAGTAAAAAATAAAAACAAACGAATTTCCAATGTTTTTTGAATGAAATGATTAAATTTATTGAATTTTAGTAATGAAAACAAAGTTTGTTACAGACGAATAAATAAATATACAGGCACCAATTTCAAACTTAAATATTCAATTTTATACATATCAAATTCCTAGATATGTATGTTTTAAAAAAAAAAAAAAATGAGCGAGAAAAAAAAAAGGAAATCCCGAAATTATAATTATGTTAAAATTTATACATACACAATTAACAACTGCAAAAAATTTGACAAAAAAAAAAAAAAAGAATTTAGCAAAATCTATCAAATCAGATTTGCAACTTATTTATGTTACAGTAATATAAAAATACTAATTAAAATTTACATTTAATGATTACAATGCATTCTTACCCGAAATACTATAAAATAAAATAATGAAAAATTTAAATTTAAATACAAATGTCTCTAATTATATGTATTATATTCTATTTCATCACAGATTGTATTAACAAAAAAATATGATCAGTTGTGATCAATTGTGATCAATATGATCAATTGATCAGCTATATTATCAAACATATATTTATTGATGGTTCTTAATATCATTTCGAACACTCAATGATAACAATCTTATCATTCAATCTTAGGAAATTGTTTTAATTTTTATACAAAATAATTGAGAATTTAACTTATCTTACTGAAATAAGAAATTTGAAAAAAATTTATCACATTTGTTGCATATAAATTTTTTCCTGAAACGAAATGATAACTAAGACAATTCAAAAATGTAAGCTTAATTTTAAATAATGCATAGAAAAGCTAAACATTATTACGTTATCAGGAATTTCAGCATTTATGATGCAAAATGCTGGGTGGATTTCCGGAATGATGAAAAAATTCCGGTACGATGCTGTGAACGACGCCTTGGGCGAACTTTAGATGATGATGAAGCTGTTCGTTCTCGAAAAACAGTTCCGTTTTGCGGAGTTTCTACACTTTGAGCTCTTTCTATAAATCAATAATTAATCAGGAAATAAATCCGGTCAATTCTATTAAATTTTTCTTTTATATTATAAATAGAATATTCAATTCATTGATGAAAATTTTAGATATTTAGAATTATTATGAATGAAAATTTATTTTTTTTGCTTTTTTTTTTTTCTATAAATTATTTTATGGATTATAATTTAGAAAGAAAACAAGTTAAAACGAATTTCAGCAAAGAGTAACCTCTTGACTGTCTATTTTCAATCATTGTTGTATCGATATTCTTAGGTTTATCAATCGATACAGGTCGATTAATCGATCGAGCTGTGTCGTAATCAGTATCACTGCATTCCGCTTGCGCAATGGGCGCTTTTGGTTCCATTACTGATTGCTGCTTCATTGTACGTATCGCATTATTTGAGGATGATCGACGAATGACAGATGACAAACGACCATTTGTAGCAATAGTTTGTCCATTTGTCTTCATTAGTGGTGTCGCTGTCATTGTTGTTGTTGCCATTGTTGTTGTTGTTGTTGTATTGTGTGATTTAAATTTCTGACTAAAATTTCATATTCAAATATAAGTTTCCTTCAATTTTATACGAAAAAATTATAAATAAACATGAAGTAAGTTCAAAATTAAAATTTAAAATAATTTTAAACTTTCTCACTGATATACAATTAATTTATTTACTTTATAAAAGTTCGCTCCCTTTTACTTTATGTATCTTTCCTTCTTTTCACATCTAATTAATCAAGATTTTTAACTTTTTTGTGCTAAAACAAAAAGTATATATCAACTAGAAAATAAAGCATAAGTTTAGAATTTACTTTAAATATTACTCAAATATTTATTATTATTTCAATATTAAGTATTATTTGAATGTATAATATTTTGATAGTTCATTGAAATTATAAAATTACTAATTGTAAAAAAAAATATTTTTTGCTAAATTTTTTATTTTTCAACAAAAATCTTAATTAACTTAACAGCATTTTCGGGAATTTACTAATAGTTTATTTATCTATTATTATTAGTAGTAAACTTTTTACTTGCTATTATTATTGATGACTCGATTGTGTTGTATACGTTTTACATATGTTCTATTTTCCTGTATCATTTCGTACAATTTATTCCGGTAATCATCTATACTTAGTTGAATATGATCCGGTAATGGAAGAAGGATATCGTAATTTAATGCCGGTTCATCTATTGGTGAATGAAATTGCAGGACATAAGGATGTACCAAACATTGATCAACGTTGAGACGTTTATGTGGAGCAAATATCAGTAGCCTGAAATCAATTTCAAACGTTTACGTAGAACAGTAACCTGAAATCAACGTTGAGACTTTATATGGAGTAAATATCGGTAACCTGAAATTAACTTATCACAATTATCACCAATATAATATCATAATAAGATTGACTTACATCTTTCCTATTTTTTTTTGGTTATAAAAGATTTCGAAAAATATATTTGAAATTAGTTAATTGAACAAAAGTAATCGATGTCAAATTTACATCATATTGTGTATTTTGATGAGTTCTTATTAAATTATATAATATCTTTTTAATTGTTTTATTTTTTTTTTTTCAAAATTTCATTTTAATTTTTCGATTCTTTTTTTTTTGGAATAATCTTTTGTGTTATTTGTGTTTTTGCACATTGTAAATAGAATGAATTTATCTTTTTTTTTAAAAAAAAAAAACAAAAAAGATGTGAATTTTAACAAAAACCTTTGAACTAAATCAATAGCTTGGTGATCTGAATTTGTCAAATATAATTCCAATGGCTTTTGTGGCCTTCGTGGCATTTTCTCTAAAACGGATGACGCATATTGCGATCCGATACTTTCGATATCTAACTGAAAAATACTTTTAATAATTTATTTTAGTCCATTTAAAATTTCACAAATTAAACTGTCTATTCTTGCTAACTTCCAATAAGTTTTAGAAAGCTTTTTAAGGAACTGATAAATTATTCAAATTAAAAAAAAAAGCTTTAACTCAAATTGAAAGGCATAAAGTTTTCAATTATAAAATTTAAAATAGACAGCAAAGTTTTCTTCTTTCTTTTCATTTTCACGAAATATTCAAAAGTTTTTTTTCGATTGATTGATTGATTGATTGATTGAATAATTATTAAAGAAAAAAGGAACAAACAATAATGAAATGTAATGAAAAAATTTTGTTTTTTGTTTTCTGAATTTTTTTTAAAAAAAAAAAAAAATTTTTTTAAAGAAAAAAAAGAAAAAAAATGAATGAATGAATAAAAATGAACTTTTGATGGTCTCGAAATGGTATTCATAATTCGTTCAATTTGATTAATAGTTGATGTGCCTGGAAATAATGCATGGCCAAGAAGCATTTCAGCTAGAATACAGCCTAGGCTCCACATATCAACACCTTTTGTGTAACATTTTGCGGCTAATAAAATTTCAGGTGAACGATACCATCGTGTCGCAACATATTCCTTTAAAAAAAAAAAAGGAAACATTCTTTTTATTATAATTATTTAAAAAAAAAATATTTTTATATTTGCACTTCACATTTCTTGGCTGTATCTTGGCTATTTACAAGACTAGGCCATATAAAATCTTAACTATTAAATTGTTTTGCTAACCAAGTTTTTATTGTTTTAATCTTTAGCTGATTTTTTACACTAATTTTGAAAGCAGAAGATAAGTTTTTGAAAATTTAAATGAAATGTTACTGTTAATTCAGGCATATTTTGTCCTTCTGGATAGTCTTCAATTTGAGATAGAGATCTGGCCAAGCCAAAATCAGCTAATTTCACGCGACAATCAGCATCCAATAGGACATTCGATGGTTTTAAATCACTAAATTTTAAATTTTACTAATTAATAAGCAAATAATTAAACGAATAATTAATGTGCAAATTTGCATAAGAAATCATTTTTATTACTTTACAAAATGTGAAAATAAAAAAAAATTTTCTATTGCTAAAGCAATTACTTTTCATATAATTTAATATCCATTGAATTTCAGTTTTTAATTCCTTTTAGAAGTAAGTTCAAAAGCATCGGATATTTCAACAAATATTTGTTAAACAAAAGTTACCACTTTTTTCTTTTATTATTCTTACAATTATTCATTGCAATTTAATAATTGAATAATTTGCAAGTATTGGTAATACTTTAAATAATAATAATAATTAATTAAATGATATACTTTAAATAATAATAATTAATATATTATTAGATGAATGATATATTGATATTAAGATATTCAATTATTATCCTACAAATTTCAATAGTTTTTTCATTACAGTTCAAAAATATAAATTTCACATTGTGATTTAATTGCAAGAAGATAATCATAGGTTTTATCTTTAGCTAAACAATTATCATTTTTCTGAAATTAAAACCTATCATTATTGTACATTTTAATTTTCTTTCTTTTCTCTCTCTCTCTCTCTCTCTCTCTCTCTCTGAGGTAAGCAACTAACCGATGTAAGACATTTCCGCTATGCAAGAAGCGCACAGCTCGAAATAGTTGACACATAATATATTGCTTATGAATATCTTTTAAAATTGTTAACTTCTTGATAACATTATGCAAATCAGCTTCCATAAATTCAAATACTAAATAAATATCTCTGAAAATATATGAAAATGCAAGTAAATATCACTGAAAGATACTTTTCATTGTAAAATATAAATAAATAAAAATACAAATTTAAAAATATTGTTTGTTTGTATAAAATTTAATTGTTTTATTTACAATTGCATATTTCATTAATATAAAATTTTATTGTTAAGTTTGAGAATTAGCTTAGTTTCATTTTATGGCAAAATATAAATGCCAACATTTTATACTTAAATAAACAGTAAGATATTATTTTTAAAATTTAATTTTTTAATTTTTATGCTAATGAATAATAACTTTTAAATTTTAATCTTTTTATTTTTAAATTTTGCTATATTCATTTCATTTTCTTTTGTAATCATAGCTACATTTTTGCCCTAAGCCTAAGCCTAAGTCTTACGCAATAAACGAACTATTTGAAAATTTTTAGAGTTGAAATTCTCGAGGGAGAAATGACAACATAATGTGAAATTATAATATCTAAACTGATAGTAAAGAAAAAGAGAAAGAAAGAAAAATATTTGATAAACAAATTGTCTTTCATTTTTTGTTTTTGTTTTGTTTTTTTTTTTTTTTTGCTTTTTGTTTTTTGAATTTTTTGTAAAATAAAATAAGTATAATGTTAATATAATATATTACATATATGTATTTAACAATTTCTTTTTCTCTTTTAATTTTTTAATTTTTTTTTTTTTTTTTTTTTGCTAATAATTAATCAAATTGTTGAAAAATTTTTTGTATAACAAAAAAATAATACTGTTCTAGCAATCATTCAAATTGTTTAAATAAAATTTAATTTTTTTTTTTTTTTTTATACTATTTTAAACTTTGTTACTTTTCAATAGAATTACCTATTAAGAATAAACAAAAAAAAAAATTTTTAAATTATAGTTTAAATTTTTTTTTTGTTATTTTAAAACAAATAATTTTTATGAATTATTTTTTTTCTTATTTGTTGATTTTTATTTTTAATTTTTATATTTGATGCATATTTTGTATAATTTTTTCTTTTAAAATTTCATATAAAGAAAAGTTTTTTTTTTTGGTAATATTTGAAATTTATACTTCTTTGTGGATAAAATTAATATCGGTAAAGGTAAATGAAATGTATACCTGTTATTATCAGCTTTAAGAACATTGTATAATTTGATGATATTCGGATGTCGTCCGAATTCCTGTAGAAACATTATTTCACGGAATGTTCTCTGTGCATCCGTTTGATTCCGGAAAGCATCAAAAATTTTTTTCAGTGCTACCGTTTCACGTACTCTTCTGCAATTCTTTCTTTCTTTTTTTTTTTTTTTTTTTTTCTATATTCATGAAATAAATTTAGAATTTCAAAAAATTTTTTGGCCATTAAATTTATAATAAAATGAAAATAAACTGAAAAATTTTCTTTGCAAAAAATATTTTAAAAATTAAAAATTTATTTCTTTGTTGCATTCATATTAAAATTTTTACAGCATCAATGTAATTAATTTAAAAGTATACATTAAGCGAATGAAAATAAAAAATAAGAAATTTATGCTGTGAGAAAGAATTATTTTAAAAGCTTTCGTTTTTTCTTTTTTTTATTTTGTTTAAAAAAAAAAATTTGTCTTTTCTTTTTTTTTAATTAAATATTTTATAGAAATGGAAATTTTCCTTTAGTTTGAGACTTTCAACAAAGCCATTTTTCTTAATTACTTTTTTTTTTCTTCTTTCAGAATTTTATAATTAATAAAAGTATTTGCATAGCATTCAATAATTCATAATTAGCAATTAAGAAACAAACTTACCTGTCGACGGCTTTCCAAACGATCCCATAAGCGCCCTTGCCGAGACGTTTATGTAAATCGTATCGTTCAATGATATGCGTGTCAACGTCTTCGGACATTGCATAAATTAATGGTAGAAGACTTGCTTTATCACGTAAATAGCGTATGTCGAAGTATGTATTGTCAGAATGTATGCAGCAATTACACGTAGAACGTGAAACAGCGGTAGTAGAATTAGTAGTAATAGTTGCAGTAGTAGTAGTAGTAGTAGTATTAGTAGTGATTGCTGTTTGGAAATTGAGTAAGGTTTTACTATTTTTTTTACTAATATTAATCAACTGCCAACGATCCCGTTCACGTTTTTGGCGTAAATTTTTTTCCGTTGAATAAGACGTATGATAAGATTGCTGTAGTGGGACAATATTATTCTTATAAGGAGGAGAAAATGAATTTGCGTGATATTTGGAAATGTTTGGTTGCTATTTGTAAAATAAGGAGGATAGAGAGAGAGAGAGAGAGAAGGAGAGAGAGAATTTTAATAAGGTACCCAAAACTAATTCGTCTTTTTCTACTTCTCACAAGTTGAAATTTTTATTTCAACGTTGTGAGCTAGGAAACAATCATAAAATAAAATGAAGGACAAAAGTTCTTTTTTTTTAAGTTGGTTGATTGGTTGATTGGTTGGTTGGTTGGTTGGTTGGTTTCGTTTTATTGATGTCAAATTTTAGGGCTAGTTGACAAAAGCGACTGGTTGCTATCAAACAACTTTCAACTTATTTTTGAATTGCTCGCTATAAGCTTTGTAATATGCATTAATCATTCCTGTTTCATTTCATGATGACGGAACGAATGACAACGATAACAGCAATGTTGGTGACAATATTGGTGACAATGTTGGTGACGATGATGATAATGACGATGATAAAGAATTTGGCTAATAGCTAGCAGCTAAGCGAATACAATTTTCCAATAATTTTTATTGAAAGTTTGAATGAAGAATCATTGAATGTTTTACTGCTAAAATTGCTGCTAGTAAATTTTAGCCATCCTGAAATGAAATAAAATAATAGTAATAATGAGAAAAGTAAAATTGAATTTGTTCAAAAATCCATATATATGTACCTAAATTCTTTTATACAAAGTCTCCCACCCTCTCTCTCTCTCTCTCTCTCTCTCATTTGCAATAACATTTTTAACTTTATTCTACCTTTGTTTATTGTTAAAACATTTTAATATTCACTTCCACAAATTTATAATTGCAAAATTTATTAATGAAATAAAGTAATTTCTCTAATTTTATAATAGTTTTATGAAATGCAAAAAAAATGTTTTGAATTTGAATTTTATTATCAAAAATGTTACCTATAAACTAATCAATGAATAAACATTGATTTCATTTTTAATTTCATTAAGAAGTATTGATTGCTTAATTTTATTACTTTACTTTTCTTTTTTTTTTTTTTTTCTAAATGACTGTCTGTCAAATCTGTTTTTTATAAAAATCTAAATGGAAACAAAAAAATATTAAAAAGAAATAAGTAAAATGAAAAGTTTTGAAAAGTTTTTTTTAAAACTATCCACAAACAAATAGATTATGTATAAATAAAATGTAAAATATATCGTTTAATTTAAATTAACCGATCCAAATATCTCCGGTAGATATTAACTGGTGCAAGTATTTCCGGTAGATATTAACTGGTGCAAGTATTTCCGGTAGATATTAACTGGTGCAAATATCTCTGGTAGATATTAACTGGTGCAAATATCTCCGGTAGATATTAACTGGTGCAAATATCTCCGGTAGATATTAACTGGTGCAAATATTTCCGGTAGATATTAACTGGTGCAAATATCTCCGGTAGATATTAACTGGTGCAAATATCTCTGGTAGATATTAACTGGTGCAAATATCTCCGGTAGATATTAACTGGTGCAAATATTTCCGGTAGATATTAACTGGTGCAAATATCTCCGGTAAATATTAACCGGTAACTAGAATATTTTCCGTAATTATGCACTACTAATAAATAAATAACACTTACATTTGCATACATATCCGATATTCATAGACGCAAAGATAGTTTGCATATGATCCATAAAGCTTCTCAATTTCTCTACCGGTGACTATAGCAACCACTATGGGAACACTCATTAGCCTAGCTAGGCTAATATATATATATACCTTAGCTATTGATATCATTCCTCTATGAGCCTAGATTGAAATGGGCTCCTAACTGTTTCTTTTACTGGCTAATTTGACCAGTAAGCGTTGCTTCCTGATGCCATCAATTATTTTAATTGCTTTTAAAACGAATGAAAAGGAGAAAAAAAGAAAAAGAATTAATTATGCATTAAATATGTTAATAAATGCTAAATAAATAAAAGCTAAAATTTAAGATGAAAATAACAAATAATTTATAAAACAATTTTAAACCTTTAATTTAATTTTGTTTATCAGTTTTAATTTTTTATTAATTTATTATTTCAATTTTTCTTTTTTTTTTTTGGCACTTTACATTTACTCCATCTTTTTTTACCTTACATCATTTCTTTTTTTCTCTTTCCCTCTCTCTCTCCTTCTCTCTCTAGTTATTCCAGTTAGAATGATAATATTTGATTAGATTTGATGGCTTAAATTTTCGAGAGCAGAAATAATTTATTTATTGATTCATATAAATTTCTTACTTTTTGAATTGAAGAAAAAAATTTCACATATATATATTATTTACAAACTATTTATATTTACTAATTTAAAAAAAAGAAAAAAAAATTGGAACATAGTTGAAATTAAAATTTTTGAAATTTCCATGAAGCCTAGATTACTTTTTTCAAAACTAAATTTAAATTTATTTCAATTAAAATCAAAATTCGGTATTCCTACAACGGAAAAACAATGAATTATGTAATTTTGATCAATCAATAATTTTTTTCTTTTTATTCCGATAATTTTAGTTTCATTTTGATAAAAAATAATAGCAATGGATGCAAAAAACAAAATGAATTAACTTCGTCCATTTTAGTTTTTTTTTTTTTTTTTTTTTTTAAATTTTTAATTTTCAAATATTTGATATGAAATTATAAAATGAAATTTGGATATATTTAAAGCAAAAAAAAAATTTATTCTTTCATCTTAAAATACATACATTAGAAAATCAATAAATCAATAAATCATTGAGCTGAGGAAAACGTTATGCAAATTGTTTACAGTGAAATAATATATTTACAACAATACGTCATTTTTCAAAACAGAAAAAAAAAAAAAAAATTCACTAACTAATAAATTGCTGCTAGGACAGGAAATTCGATAGCATTTCTTTAGGCTTATTTAGATATAAGCATCTTAGCCATAAGTCTGCTTAAGCCAAAAAGCATTTGAATGAGTCGTTGTCATGGAAAATAACAAATATTTCTTAATTGAAATCTAAAATTCTAATAATTTCATAGTGAAATAATATTCACATTTGTTGTTCCAACTATTTCATTTCAATTTAGAAATGCAATGCTATAAACTGAAATATAATTTAATTCTGCTTTAAGCTATTTGAAAAAAAAAAAAAAAAGACATCGAAGGATGGATTTTTTAATAATTTTATCAATTTTAATAAGTTTTTTTTTTTTTTTTGATATATAAAATTTTGCTGATAATAATGAAAAAAGAAGTTTCACTATGAGAAAACTTTTTTTGTAATCATTTTTATCATTAAAAAAGAAAAGATCAAAAGATTAAAGATGAATGTTATCAAAAAAAAAGAAAAAAGAATGATAACTTAGATGTTGTAATTCTCTAACAATTGCAAAAATATAATAAAATTCCAATATTGTAGTGACAGTAAGAGTTGCATTTAAATAATTAATTCTATAAGTACTTAAATATTTAAGTACTAATTAATTAATGAATTATAAGTACTTAAATATCGAATTAGGTATTACTATGCAAAGTTAATTAGTTATACTTTGTTGTTTATTGCCATTTATATCTCAAATAATACCACAATAATAACTTTTTCAATTTAATTTTGCACAAAATCTCTCATTATTTTTAATATAAATATAAATAAAATTCAATTGAAAGAAGTAAAATTTAATTTTTCGATTTCTGTTCATAAATAATATTCAATAAGATAGCTTATTTCTTTTCTTTTTCGATCCAAAATCGTTAATTCATACAAATGGAAATCATTGAAAAATTATTTTTTAAAAAATTTTCAAAAAACAAAATTGGTAGAAATGATTTTTAAATTTTTTTTTTTTTTTTAAAGTTTAGGGAAGTTGAAATAACCTAAATAAATAATTAATTGTTTACTTGTTTCATCTCTTTCTTGCTTCCTTCTCTCTCCCTCTCTCTCTCTCTCTCTGCCCCTCTCATTCTTTTACCCTTTATAGAAATATGCATTATTGTTTTATAGAAGAAATTAAAAAGCTTTATGCAATTTAAAATAATTTATATTTGGGTAGCAAATTTGTGATGAAGAAAAAAAACAATAATTTTTCAATAACAAATTTTCATATTCCGAAATTTCAGCAAAAATTTTAAGAATAAAAATTAAAATTTATTAATTAGAAATCGATTCGAAAAATTGTATTTTAAGTTAAAATCTTAATGTCATTATTTTTAATCATTAATTTTATCATTGCTAAAATTATCTTTGAATGATAATTTTGTTCACCGAAGTGATTCATTAAGTAATTTGAGATTAGATTTACACCTATATTACTCTAAAGTATTGATAAATTATACTTTTAGTGTTCAAAATTTTATTAAAAACCAGATTGCAATTATATGAGAAATAATTTAAATGTAATTAATTTTATTTTATAATCAATTTTGGCAAATATATTAATCCAACCTTTACAAAAAATTTACCTGAAAAAATAAAAAAAGAAAAATGGCATAAATAAAGTTCAAATTGCATGCGTATATTAAAGTTAAATTATTCTTTAATCAAAGTTAAATTTGATAACAAAAAAAATTATCCTTAAAACTAATTTAATTTGTTTCTTTTTCTCTCCACGAAAAAGGAAATTTAATTTACTAAACTGACTAAATATCATTTGTAACTCTCTAAAATATTTTTTAAATTCTATAAATTATAGAAGAAAATTAATTTTATAAATTGAAAACATATTTGAAAGATTTGCAAATGATGCTTTGCTACAATACTTTCATTACTTCTATTATATTTCTAACTTTGTAAACTAACAATTAAAGTATTTGTAAATTTTTAATTAATAATTGGACCACCTTTTGAAGTTAAAAATAGACCGCAATTTCTGGAATTAGAATCTTTTGATTTAACCGCTTTCATTAATTGTTTTTTTAATGCAAATTAAAATTCAAATATACTTTTAGTTAGAATCTACAAAATTAAATGAGAAAATCTGCCAATTTTGTCACCAATTGTTTGCGTTGACATTGACTGTGACAGCAATCTTTCAACAAATGTTACATTTCAGACTACTCTCGAAACTCTCGAATTCAATCAATTAGTCCTAAGCTTATCACTTATCACCTTATCACCGGAATATCTGTCTCTCTTGGCCAAACTATTAGCATAATTTATGCTACATTTTAAAAAACATTTTAAAATTCCTTTTTCTAAATATGTCACATTTTTCAATTGTGTCTGATATGCCTTGGCTAAGTTTTATTAAGAAAAGAAGAAAGCATTTTTGACTACAAAACTTTTTTTCTAATCCATTCATTTTATTAAAAAGAAAAAAATTCAAATCATTAAATTTTTTTTTTTTTTTAAACATTTCAAATATACTTTGGCAATTAATTGAAATAATTAATTTGATGCTGTATTTTAATTCAAAAACGTAAATGAGTTCGTACTTTTTTTTTTTTTCATTTCACTCATTCATCCCAAAAAGATTGCTATTATCTCTTTTTTTTTTTTAAATTTCAATTATTTGAATGACAAATTTAACATTCTTTTATAGATTTAAATTATGCATAATTCTTTTAGAAATATTAATATCAATTATAGCATTATCATTTTCAGTTTTAATTATTTAACTTTATTCATAATTATATCATCGACATAGTACCATTACAGCTTTACACAAACAAAATGATACAAATACAAAAGTTTTGCACAATTTATTTTTTAAATTTAAATTACAAAATTTTATTGATTATAATAATTCGATGACATATTTTTTTTTACACATTTTAAAGTTGACAAACTGTCACAAATGACAACAAAATATATATTAACAATTTGTTAATAATCGGTCTTACTGATAGTTATTCAGTGATATATAACTGATAACAAAATACTATCAGTCAGATCCACTTTATTTATTTTTGATAAATTTAAAATTTAACTGAATTTGCAGCATTATTAATTATTTGAGCGATTTATACACAATAGTCCACAGTGATTTATTTGCTCTTTTCTGCAGATTTATTCTATTCAATGTAAAATTAAAAGGTTAAAAGGTCATCTTTTGTCCTGTTGAAATTAACAATGACAGAATAATTAATTAAATAAACTGAGCTGACACATTCAGGTGACAAAACAGCAGTACTTGTCGTTCAGTTTTTTCACGTTTTCCGTTTGTTTGTTATGCTTACAGTAATTCTGAAATATATAATAAACAGGAAAAGAAATACTGAAAGAAACTTTAGGCTGAAAAAATGAGTAATTGCTGATAATATAAAACTGAAAATTGGAACTGATTTATATGTGTACATGAAGAATTGAAATCAGAAAAGAAATTGAGGAAAAGCAATAAAATAGTAAAATAAAATAAATGAATGTAACAGAATGATCAGACAGAAAAATGAAACGATTAAAAAAAAAATTGAAATTTTATAAATTCATTTTAAAAGCATTCATTATGACACTTATTTCATTTATAATTCAAGCTATATAAATGAAATTTCAGATGAAAATTTCTAAAATAACATGAACAAAAGTTATGATAAAATTTAAAAAAAAAAAAAATTGGTGTAAAAATTTAATTTAAATGAATGAGAAACAAAATAAAATGAGTGAAATTAATTTTTTTACATTTATTAGTTTTATATTAAAAAGAATTTCAAATAATTTGCGTAAATCAATTGTTGATTGTTTGCTGCAATTGTTTTATTTAAAATAATTTTATTATTAACAATATTTCATTTTTTTTTTACATTTGATTCAAAATTTTTGCAATATCAAATTAATTACAGGTGAGAACAGCAAATAATTAATGTTAATTTCAGGTGGTAAAGTAATTGAGAAGAATAAAAACTCTAAAAGATTCGGAAATTGCATATAAAAGATCCCAAAAAAAAAGGAAAAAAGGAAAAAAATAAAAATAATCATAGCGTAAATATATGCTCGCAAGGATGGTTCCGGAATAAGGCAATCCTTTGATCTTTTATTGATTAGAAGCCAATGAATTCCGGAATTGGACCAAAATGATTTGTTGATGATCACTTCTAGACACAGATCAAAAATTAAAATTACTTCACTGATTTTTATGGCTTATAATGATTAATCTAGCCTAGGAATACTTTAGCCTAGGATTACTTTAGCCTAGAATCACTTTATCAAGTTGTCACACATACAATCTAATTCGTAATACTAAAATAATTTTCAAAGAATGCAAAATTTTACGATACAAATTTTGCAGCAAAACACAACAAATCATTTATACATTTGCCTTTTGTATTTCAAATAATTATCAATTATTAAAGTAAAGTAATATCGATTAGAAAGTTTCAATTAAATGAACAGTGATTAATAATAATAATAATAATAATAATAAAATAATAATAATAATAATAATAATAATAATAAATAATAATAATAATAATAATAATAATAATAATAATAATAATAATAATAATAATAATAATAATAATAATAATAATAATAATAATAATAATAATAATAATAATAATAATAATATTAATAATAATAATAATAATAATAATAATAATAATAATAATAATAATAATAATAATAGTAATAATAATAATAATAATAGTAATAATAATAATAATAAAGTGATTACATTATCACCTGAAAATATCAAATTAGACAAATATCAGATTTAGATGATTTATATGCATAATTGATTACTCATAATAATGAGTTCTTTGACATGTCACAATTATTCAATCCTGAATGAATGGCACATTAAATGGTTGTTTATCACTTTCTAACACGTCACGTGACTTACTCGTATGCAAAAGACGGGAAACAAGTTTGACAGAGATACATTGTTTACAATATTTCAATAAAGAAAACATCCGGCAAGCACATCAATTAATTATTGTTGGCATCATTAACACATTACGACATCAAATCATATTGCAGCATTTACTTTTTTCTTTTTATTTTTTTATTTTTCTTTTTTGAACTTTTGAGAGAATAAACAGAGAAATAATTAGTTTTGAAGAAAAACAAAAAAAAAAAAAATCTTACAAAAAGGAATCATTCAATGAATTACAAAACAGTGAAATACTGAAAGTAGTTATGAACCTAATATCAAATTAAGTACTGAGGAATAGGAAATAATTAGCTTTCTTGTAATATGAATCAATTTTTTTTTTTCTTTTAATTTTTTATTCGAATGTGAAATTTTCAGCAGTTTAAAATTTGTAGTAATTGAAATAAGATTAAAAATTAATTTTGTTTTTTCTTCCAGAACGGAAAAATGTTTAAGAAAGCGAAAGATATTGTATCGGATGCTGCAGATACGATTAAGAAGACAGCAGACAAAGCATATCATCAAGTTTGTTAATATAAATTTTCATTTTAATTTTTATAAATATTTTGATAATTTAAATCTTTATTCAAAAAAAAAAAAACTCTTCCTATATTCTGACTAAATTTGTTTTTAAATTAAATTCAAAAAAACAATAAAATTGTTATTTGTTTCAGTACAATCAATGCAAATTTTAATTTTGCAATATTTCATCTGAAAGAATAATAAATTAATACTCAAATTGTATATACAAATTGTTAAAAAGAATTCCAATAACGTATTAGTATTGCATCTGTAGCAAAATGATTTCATCGAGAAGTTCGAAATTCTAAATTTTATTTTAATTTTAAGAATTTTGAATTTTAATATTTTCAGTTCTCCAACAAATTTATTATAGGTGAAAAAGGGTGATGATAAATGCAAGGAAGGTGTTCAAAATGCAAAAAGTGCAGCAGGTGAAATGGTTGAAAAAGCTGGCGAATTACTTGAGGAAAGCGGTAAATGTTTTAAATTAAATTTAATTAAAACTTTGATGATTTATGATTTTTATTTTTTGAAAGGAGCAAAAGAGAGACGAAACTTTTCAAAATGAAAGAAAAAAAACCCATTAAAATTAAAATGTTTAATCGATATACTAATAACCAATAATCGTAAATATTTCACTCGATCATTGCTTTTAATTTAATTACATTTTAAAAATAGACTGGCAATAAAAGTTTAATTTAAATTTTATGATAGCGATTAAATGTGATTGATTGATTGATTAATATTAGAACGATAAAATGATTGATAAGAAATAGAATATTCCAGTTTAGCTGATCAAATTTCAGGTGAGAAGATCAAAGAGATTGGAAAGAAACTATAAGAAAACATTTTTGTTCGATCATTTCTAGTAGTAATAGTAATACTCTTTTTTATTTCTTTTTTTCAATAATTTTTTTTTTTTTTTCAATGAAATTGTTAGGTAATTCATCATTTAATACAAAATTATTCCATTTTAAATTTAATTGTGATTTTATATTAATCCATTTTATGAGTTATTCATTTCTTTTTTACTTTGTTTCTTCTTTTTTTTTTTTTTTTGTAATCATTAACAATAAACTGTAAAATTTTTAATGAAATAAAGTGACATTATCAATTTTTGGTACCATTTATATATGTTTGAGAATTTTGTCCCTTTTAAATTTAAAATTTAGAAAGAAGGATTAACTTCACCGAAATAAATCGATGAAAATTTTTTGCAAACTAACAGAAATATTTTCAAAGAAATTTTGAAAATTTTCGTTTCTAATTTCGAAAGAATTAAAATGGAAAATTATGTAATTCTATGAAATTTATTAGCAATACCAATGAATACATATGTAAATTTCAGTGCTGAGTTTTAACAAAGAACGAAAGAAACTATAATGTCGCGAAATCGGTGACATTCTCGAGAGAGAGAGAGAGACAGAGAATTAAACTAGCGCAAATCGTTTCAATTCCCATTGATACTTTGAATTTAACAATTTACCCCTTTATCAGCATTATCGATAACATCGGGTGGGACATTTAACACTGTTAAATTAGGAGGACATTCCCTGCCTCATCCTTACTTGAGTAGCGTAAAGCACTCCTCACGTACGTTGCGTGGTCGTATACCGTTCAGATAATGTAGGTAAGTAAACCAAATCATTACACTTTGTTCACAGAGAGAGTTCAAACAATCATCAGTACGGCACCGAACCTTTACTCATCCAGTGCTTCAATAATGAGCTCTTTACCAATACACTACCAGTCATGACAGAAATGAGAGGAATATTCGTTACCCAAATTTTGCCCACGATTTCAGTGTGTAATTTGAAATGCCTAAAAGTTTTTTTTTTTTTGTAATTGGCATATTTGCTTTGTTAGTTGTTAAAAAATAAACCAAATAAATCTTTTCAATATGACATCATCGATTCGTATGGTACTTAATTTTAGGTTCAACCTGCTACCTTTCCCATTTAAATGTAATGTCTTTAATTATAAATGTTTCTCTAAAACATATGTAATTTTATGTGAAGAAATATAATTGGTTATGAAAATTGTTTGTTAATTGAATAAAATGAATAATTGAGAGAAAAATAAGAACAAAATTACATTATTTAAAAATTTTGTTTAATTATATAGAAAGATAAAATTGAAAAAAAAAATTTTTTTTTAAAGTGTTTAATCGTTTCAATTTGATATTTCATATGTAATAAACTAAATGTGCAATAATTGATGATTAAATTTGATTAAACTTGAATTTATGAAGAAACAGAAAATATTATGGTATGTTTATATTGGAAATGAATAAATAAACACTTCTCAAGTTGATTTTTTTTTTCTTTTGAAGTTTACAATGTTTATTTGTAAACTGAATTCAGTTTAATTTCTGAACAAATTTTATTTCTCATAAAAAAATATTGACAAGTATATTTTTAAAAGGTGAAAATATGGATATTTTAGAATTTCAAAGTATTACTGAAAAATCGTTAATGAAATATGCGGTTGGCGTAAAACGATTGCGCTTCGCTTGCGCTAAATGTCCTCATGTTTCTCGTAACTGAAAAAAAAAAAAAGCGATGAATTCATGAACTGAATTTTGATCTAAGAATTTTAATTAATAACAACTTTCTGGAATAATTTCAAATTTTAAGATATTTCAGCAAAAATAACAAAATATCTTTCTTTTTGATACATTTAAACAAAAAAATAACAGAAAGAAAAGTGGAGAGAATTTTTAAATTTATCAAAATCAGAAAATTAGATAAAATTTTGAACATTTCTCAATTTCGCTTAAAGATGACAAGTAATATTTTATAAAATTCATAAAAATGAATTAACTTTTGATCATTTGCTTACCGTAAGATTACAATTTATTAAAATCTTACAGTAATGCAGGTGTAACTGTAAGATCTTGAATACATGTATTAATGGTCGCATTGCATGCATATTTCTCTGGACAATAACCATTTACACAAGCTAAAATAATTAAACTTACATAAGCTAAAATAAAAACAAAAAATAATTAATTAAAAATGATTAAATACAAGCTAAAATAAAAACTAAAATAATTAACTAAACACTTTTTTCATTTTTTAAATTTTAATTATAGAAAAAACAAAATTAAATTAATTCATATTCATAAGCTTAAATAATGATTTCATATTTATTAGTTATTTGTATTTTAGCAATTTTTCATTTTTTTTTTTCTTTTAAAAGAAAACCATTTAAATTCACATTCTTCTATTTAAAGCATTTCACTTTCTAAACATTCAAAATATATTTATAGACAGATTGCTTTCATTTATTTTTATTAAATTAAAATTGTTACTCACTTTTCTTCCTCTTTTGTCTAATCAGTTTTAATTTGAAACAAAAAAAAATTTGCATAATTTTAAAAATAAACTACCTTATCTTATCTAATAAATCAATGATATCACTGCAACAAATAACTTCCGTTTTATTTTAATATTACTAATAGTATGGGAATTTTTATAAAATTACTTCCGCATTTTGTCATGAAAAGTTTAAAGAATTTTCTTTTTCCATGCATCAATAATTGTTTAAACTGATGTATAGCCATAGCTATTAATTTTCAGGTGGAATAAGTTGAATTTTAACCGGAACTATCATGAATTGAACATTCAATTCATTTTTCAAACATTTTTATGAATGCATATGTGAATAATAGATCAAAAAGTATGAATTGATTATGTAATGCTCAAATACTTTTTAATCACTCATAATACATTTATCTATTGCTTATTTATTGATTAACAATAAATTTGTGCATTGATTCAGATAATTTTAGTGTAACAATTATTGCTAATAATTTTTAACTTTAATTTTCTTTTTTTTTTTTTTTACAAAAATTTTAGCAAAGAATTAAAATAAATTTTGCAAAAAAAAAAAAAAAAAATTCAAAAACTTACGCATTGGATTATTAATAGCATTAGAAGTTGTCAACAAAGATGCAATAAGTACAAAAATAAGAAATGTCATAGTAATAAGTTAGAATTTAATAAATTGTCACCAATAATTGACAATGCTCAAAAGTATCTAACTAACTGTCCTTTTATGCAAAACAATAATGCAATGTAATTGTTTACAAATGACATTGTATATGTCAAAAATAGAAAATTTATAATTTGTTCAGCTGTTATCCATTTGAATGATTGTGTATTATCGCAACAAATAATATTTCTTACTACTATACGATTTAAATAATTTAATTGAAGCAAACTATTTTTACTTTGATATATGTGAAATAAAATTATGAACGTTTGAACACGTACGTGGCAATTTTAATGAAAAGATAAGCATGAATACAATATACGTCAAATAATAAACAGATTATTTCACGTTTTATTTTTACATTAGTTAATGATATTAAAAAATTTTTGAAAAAAAAATTTTTTTTTTTTCTTTCTTTGATAAATTTTGTAAAATTAATGGAAATTTATTGAAGCTTTTAAAAAGCTTTTCAAAATCATCGATAAATTCTAAAACGATTTAGGAAGTTGTAGAATATATTTTTGAAATTTCCGATACTTTAGATAATTACCGGAAATATTGAAATTTTGGAGAATTGTAAGAAAAAAAAAAAAATGGTGAAAAATTCTAGTAGATAATGATAATCATTAGAAATTGTTAAATTTTTCAGAAATTTCCTAAAATCTATTTTTAGAAAAAAAAAATGACGAAATTTTAGAAATTTTTAAAAACTTTGAAAAGTGTAAATTTTTATTTTTTCAAAATAATTTTTTTTTATTGTAGATGTATAAATTTTTGTATAAGTTTTTAGATATTATAAAAATTATTGATAGATTATTTTTTATTCAGTCAAATTTTACTGAGCAATTTTTAATCAAATTTAATAATGAAAGCATTATCAAGATTGCCTTCATGATTTTAAAAAAAATTTAAATTTAATTTTAATCTTTTCTTTTCATGGAAAAGTGCTATTGATAACAGTGTAAACTGTGAATTGGTAATTTATCATTCTTTCCAACAATTGCAATGAATTATTTTTAAAATGTCGGCATTTCCTACATGAAATAAAATGTAGCAAATGCAGAAATATAATAGTGAAATGATTAATTTGAAATGATAATCTGAAATGATTAATTTGAAATGATAAATTCGAAATGATTTATTGCAAATGGTGAATTTAAGGTAATAATGTATTGGAGTGCATTTACATCAATGTATGATTGATGACATTTCCGCTCTCAAATAATTCAGAGACAAACGATTATCTTAAATTCATATGAGTTCAGCAAAATGACCATCAGATAAGCTAATTAGCAAAGGTCAAAGGTTAGCTAAGCATAAAGTATGAGAAGCTCATCACTGAATGATTGATTTCATTTGGCACAAAATTTGATATTACTCACTTTACAAAAATTACTTTCCCTAATTCAAAAAATAATTTAAATGAAATTAAACAATTAATCTATTTACAATTTTTTTTTTTTATTTTTTTTTTTTTGCATATGTGTTTTTTAATTTTCAATAAACTCTTTGCATCATTTTTGTTATTACTTTAACAGATGGACAATTTTTGATGATGAAAATTCACCAACAAATTGAATTACTTTCTTTTCATTTAAATTTAATAATTTTTGTTAAAGTTCTTTTTTATTTGCAAAGTTCTGTGTAATCTTTTTTTCTAAGGCAAATCTTTTTTCTGATAAAAACAAAAAAACAGTTGAAATTATAAGAAATTATCATTAAATTTATTAAATAGTAAAAATTGCAGCAAAGAATTTACAATGAACTGATTGAAAAAAAATTGGGTAAATGAAAATTAATAATTGATTCTAAACTTTTTTACAAAATGAAAAGAAATTAAAATTGAATTAATTTCGTTATACCATTAGTTGCAAAAATTAAAGTGACCAGTCATTTTACAATTTTTGACAACAATTATGCATTAATCGCATAAGTGACATATATTTCAAAAATTTTTAAACAAATCCTAAGGAAAGAAGAGAAAATAATACCATATAATTAGCAAGTAAAAGTAGAAAGTTCAGAGGTTACTGATATGATTAGATATGATAAAAGAAATTACTTTTGCTCAAATAATGTGAATTGTATTATTTAAAATTAAACTAAAAACTTTGACAATTTTTTGAATACTTTCAAATAAAATGGAAAAATTTAAACAAAAAATGAAACATAATTTGTAAATTAGATAAAAAAAAAAAAATGCAAAAACGATAAAATGAATTATTTATGGCTTAAAATAATTATAAAATTAGCATTTATTCATTAACTCATTAATTAATGAACCCATTAATTAGCAAATTTTGAGAATGAGCCAACAAAGAGACAAATATTGCGCAAATATAAAAATGAGAGAACGATTAGCTGAGTTAACTGTTAAGAAGCTACTGCTACTAGCAGCTTCAACAAGATTATCACTACCGTTATCATAATAACTAATATCAGTATCTCTGTCAATAAAAACATGTCCACGAATTTGACCTCTTGACCTTTCACCTTCACTGTTTATTGTGCTTCTCACTTGATCAGCATCAAGCCCGGATGACAATTCTTCGGGCAATTTCTTGCTATTGTCATTATTCATCCCAAATACTGAATTTGTTGTTATATCTTCATTAGACCAAATTATTTCTGCTTTATCATTTAACATCTCCTAAATATTTTAATTCAATTTTCAAATTAATTACAGTTCAAAATTTGCTTTTGCAATTTTATAACTTTTTTTTTAATCAAATCCTTATTTACTCTTTCTTAACTCTCTTACTTTCAAAATCTTTTTCACTTTCATTTTATTTTAAACCAATTTCACTTTATTTCAAATCACTTTATTAATTGAGTGTAAGCAAATTGAAATTTCACACATATAGGAAAGAAATTATTTAAAATTCTGACTTAAAAATCCTAAATTCTATTATTATTATTTTGCACAAATCGAGTGCTAAAAAAAAAAGTTATCAAATTAAAATTCAAATTATTTGATTTTAAATTGAAATTAAAATGAGAAAAAATGACTACCCTATATCGTAAGAAATCATTTTCATTATGAATAGCAGCAACAGTGGTGGTAATTGTAAATGGAAATGCTTCTGATAGAGAAGGCGGAAAATGCTCGGTGAAGACGGAATGTCCTATAAATTGACATTTTGGCAGCAGTGTATTAGTTGTGTCCCTGAGGACACGAAATATCATTGTCCAAGCTTCAGCACCACAGCCATATGATATCGGTCGTTCAACACAACTGGCAAAATAATTGAGTGCTCTGAAAAAAAAAAAAAAAAATTTAATTTTATTCCATATGAAATTAAATTGTAGTATTTTTCATCCTTTCATAATTAAATAAGAAAGCAAGAAATTTTATTGAAATATATCTTAGAAATTACTGAACGACAAAATAGAATTTAATATTATTAACTCAAAAGTAATCAATTTAATCAATAATAAAATTATTTGTATGAATTTAAAACTTTGAAAAAAAAAAAAAAGAAGAATGAAATTTTAAAAATGATAACTTACTGGCACATTTTATCAAAACGATTTAATGTTGTTGTGCTAGGTTCAATATTAGCAGCTTCAATATGTTTTAAAGTAATTTCATGGCATTGTTTTACTGTTGGTTGTCGATCTAATTCAACTAAACACTCTGCGCTTCCCATAAATGCTAAAAAAAATTATTAATTAATTAATTAATTAATTGGTATTCATAAATAAATGTGACATATTCATTAGATCAATAATCATTCATCACTTTTTTCTCTTGTAATAAAAAAAAAAAAGAACAAAATTAACTAATATTTGTAATAATTTTTTGAAGTTCTTTTTTTTTTTTTTTTTTTTTTTTTAGGAAAAGTTATGCTTTGAAATAATTTTATTCAAAATAATCTTTTGAATAAATTATAAACTTTTCAATTAAATAAGTAATTTAATTTTATTGTTTAAACTATAGATAAATTAGTGAATTTTTAAAAAAAAAAAAGAAAGAAAGTACTTTCATATCCTTCATTGCATAAGAATCCATAAGAAGCATCAATTAGGCTCACTGTGACATGTTCGGGACACTGTTGGCGCAATTTGTGAACGCATTCATTGAAATTTCGAACTAATCTTTAAATTAAAACTAACACATCTTTTGAATATCGCTTAACAATGAAAAAACTAATTGGAATAATTTTTAATTGCACTGTTAAGCATCAATTTCAGTTGTTGTTTATAATTAATCTTAAACTTTTCTTTTTTTTTTTAAGCAAAAATTATTTTAATTTCAAAACTTAATTTTAAAGACATTTCGGTTTTTTTTTTTTTTTTTTTTTTTTAAAGACATAAACTTTTGTAATTTGAAATAATTCATAACAAAATTTAAAATAATAATGCGTCGTGTTTTTTGTTTGTTTGTTTGTTTTTTTTTCAATATAAAATTTGTGTGAGAATTAAAAAATAATAAACCTGCAAAGTTCACGAAATACATATCGTCCAATTTTTGGTAATGCAATCGCTTGACCAAAATTATTTTTTGCTGCATTTGTTGAATTTTGATCATCCTTTAAACAATAATTTGATAAGTTTAGTTTTTTAAAAATTTTTTAAAACAACAAATCATCAATACAATTTAGCAAATTGATCAATGCACAATTGAGAAGATAATCCGTGTTGGTCAAATTTCAAAAGTAAAGAAAGTTTGAATCCATTCAAATAATTTCAAATGAAGATAATTCTAGCAAAACTTCTGGTCACTCCTTGACCATAAAACATTCTAACATTTTATAATTAAATATTCTTCTATCTATTCATATGCTAACTTCTGCATTCATATTTTTACATTTATATTAATGTTGTTAGAAATAACTATAAATGTTCAAATAAATGTAAATGTTCAATGTTAAATGTATAAATTTGAAAAAATTCATTCACTCATACTTTGGAACTAATTTTCAGAAGAAATATTTCTAATATTAGTACTTGAAATTTAAATTTTTATAACTATAAATGTTCACTGCTTGATTACAATTTTCTATTAAGCAAAAGATTGACTAAGGTTAGCAATCTTTAGTTTGAAGCATTTAATTTCCTATTCTAATTTTATTACTTCTCATAGCACAATTTAAATTTTTCATTCTAAGAATGATGATTTTTACTAACAACTTTTTACCTTGATTTTTGAATTGTTGAATTACCTTGATTTTTGAAATTTTTTGAAGCAAATTTTTGAATTGGAAATGTAAAATCAAATTAAGAATTTGAAGATTGATAATTCAATTTTGTATGTATTAGTCCCTTTACTATGTTTTAGTTATTTTTTTTTTCTTTCCCTGTTAAAACTGAAAGGTGACACTCATCCGTGTCACTGCGACATCCCTTATAAGTATTCAAAGCTTGACCACTTCATCGTCTTTTTAGCGATTATTGGATTATTCCTGGCATACATCACAGCTGCATGAACTGATTTTTTTGTTTTAACCTTATGTTGCAGTTCAAATTTTATTTAAATCAATCAATCAATTTGCATAATCTCGAAATAGCTTCTCGAATTTTTCTTTTTTTTTTTTTTTCAGTTAAAAAGTTTAACTACTAACTTCTTGATTAAGAACTTTAGCATACTGAGCAATTGGTTGTACACATCTTTGAACAGCTTCGTTAATTCGATGAGAACAATGTAGCGTTGCAAATTTTGGATGTATTAATAACACACCTGAAATTAAACTAATTATCTATTAAAATTTCAAATTTTTTAAATTTTGAATATTTCTAATTTTTTTTAGACAAAATAAAAAAAAAAAGAAAATTTTGAGATGATTTTATTTTTGCATAGAACCATAAGTAACTATTAATGATGAATAAATTTCAAAAAAAAATAAATAAATAAACTCAGTATTTGTCATTAAAATTTAAAATTAAATTTAACAAAATAAACAAATTTATACTAATAGATGCATACCAATAATAAAAATAAATGAATAAGTGTGTTGCATCTCATAAATAGCAATTTCTTGCCATCTATCTAAATCGTTATTCAAACCATAATAAAGTAAATTAACATTTCAGCAAATTTCATCGCTTTCAATTTTCTGAAATTAATTACATTTATAAATTAGAAATTTCAATTAAAATACGATGCATTTTTAGATACGAAAGTTTTTTTTTTTTTTTTTTAACCTGAAATTTATATTATTAATTTTTTCTTCATCTCATTTTTTTTTCCTCAATATTTAATTTTAATTAGGCAATAAATAAAGTATGATTAATAAATTTTCTCAAATTCTAATTTTATTAAATTTAATGGATGATAAATTGCAAAATAAATCTAAAGTAATAAAACTGAAACGTCATTGTATTGCAAAATAGATATACGCCTGAAGTTTCACGTGTGAGGAGAAGAACGTGATCGTAATTTTTTTTAGTAATAATTTTTTTCTATTCAAGTGACTTTCAAGCTTCCAATTTTGTTTTCTTTGGAAATTAATGAGAAATGTGCAAAGATTCTCACGGAAATAACTTGACACGTAATATGAAGTAAACACAAATAACAGATGACGTGACCTCACTGCTTTCCCATAACTTGACACGTAATATGAAGTAAACACAAATAACAGATGACGTGACCTCACTGCTTTCCCATAACTTGACACGTAATATGAAGTAAACACAAATAACAGATGACGTGACCTCACTGCTTTCCCACTCATAATTCACCACAATTTTCCTTAATTCTTAAGTAAACACTAATTTACATCTCATTTCTCTCTGCAAAAATTATTGTTGTCATAAAGTTGTATGGTATGGTATATTCGGAAAGTTCAAAGGTTATCCTAGTAGAAGGTTATATTTTGAGGAAAAAGCATTACCGTACATTATTACATCTCTAGCAAAATTTATATGTTTACGTTTTATTAGCCAATGCTAACACTTGTCAAAACTGGTGACTAACAAATGGATGCAATGAAAAGTAATAATTAATGTCATCAAAAAAAAAAAAAAAAAAAAATGAGGTGACATTTTAAGAGATAAACTAGATTAGAACATTTTTAAATCATTTTTATGATACATTTTCTCAACTATATTTTCAACATTTTGAAAACATTTTGAAAGAAAAAAAAAAACTTTAAAGTGGTACTTATATTAATAAAATATGCTTATAAGTAAGATTTCAAATATCTATTTTGAAAAATCAATGGAATACTTGAATGAATGAATCATTTTAATATTAAGATTAAGTGATAGACTTATGCTATCATTGAACAATAAACTAAAACAATTTTGGTATGCATAAATTATTCACTGCTAAATATAATTTCGAACGAATTTTTGACAATTTAAAAGTTCATTCATGCATGTCAAGTCACTTTGAATAATGCTAATGACACATTTTCTGGTAGACAATTATCAATCTATCAACACCAAACATTTAAAACTCACTTTTCAATATTTCCGTATGAAATGCTATTTCTGACAATGAATAATACTAAAATTTGAAAATTGAAAATTTTAATAATGATTATCATCAATCATTTTCATTCTCGATATTTATAAATTATGGTTTCGTTTAAAAAAAATTTTAAATTGTTTAACAATAATGTGAAAATGCATAATTAGCCAAGTAAAACATTCAAATTTATCACTTTTTTTAAATCAATTTTATTCTAAAAAAAAAAAAAAAAGAAGAAGTAATATAAAATGTGAGAGATATTTCCATTTCGAGAATGAGTAAGGCAAATGTTAATTAAACTCTTTGAATTTTTGTTTTGCTATACATTTTCCTAAAAAGCTATCAGTAATCATTAATATCATAATTATAAAAATATATTTAATATTTTTTAATTTGAATAAAAGAAAACAGAGAGAAAAAAAAAAGCACTCATTCCATTTTAATGAATATATAATATTGACAACAAAATTTTAGTATAAAAGAAAAAATATTCCACTTCTAATTAATGAATTTTTTTTTCCTACAAAGTTTGTTATTTATTTATAAACATTTCACATCAAATATTTATTACTTTAGCTATTACATTTGTAAATAAGTGAAACAATGTTTACAGTATGCATATTTACGGCAAATTTACGTTATTTAACAAATTTTATTTAATTATTTCATATCGATAGGATTAGATAAGCATATGAGCAGCTAATAATCTTATGCATATTCAAAAAATGTGAAAAAAAAATTAAATTGAATGCATCATTTGGATTATAAGCACTTCAATTTTCAATTTTAATATTTATTAGTTATAAATTAAATTGATTAAAATACAGTAACTGTAACATTGACATAAGTTGAAGTTTGCAATAATATATTATTGATGAATATAATTAGCAATGATTATCATTTCAGATGACATTCTTGTCTCATAATTACTTCATTAATGACATAACTAACATATGTCTATCATATAATTCTAACTATATTCTATTTTATCAAAAGCATAATTACTAATTAGTTATCATTCTTTTAGTTTGATAAGAAGAAAAGAGATAAATAATTGATATAATTAATAGCTATTATTTTAGCTTATATAATTGAAATTAAAATCGTTAAGAAAATAAAAAAAAAAAAAAACAAAAGGACCAAAGTTTATTTGCAGGAATTGCATCTATTTATTTCTATAAGTAAGTAGTAGTATTGTCGTCCTTTTTCTTTTTTTTCTTTTTTTGTCTCTTTGCGCTTACTTACTTTTCGCTTTTCCTTTGTACTTCCGCCAATGCCTTTCTCATTTTTCCTTCCTTTTCAATTTACGCCATCGCTTGATGTACATGCATACTCGTTTTGTAACGCTCAATTTAATCAATTCAATCTCGGGAATATACTCGAGACTGAAGCGCTTAAGAAAAGCTTTCTATTACACTTCTTCAATCTCATAAACATATATATGCATGAGTCGTGAACTATGAGCTATGACTTATATTAAATTTCAATGTAATTTTCTTTTTTTTTTTTTCTTTATTAGAAAAAAAATTTTTTTTTGAATTTTCTTAAAAACTTTTATTTACTTTTATCTTTTGCATATTTTTATTTTTAGTTAAAATATTTTCCATTAAATTTTTTGATTAATAATTCTCATTGAACAAAAAGAGATCAACAGAAATTACTGTAAAGCATAATTTTTAATAATCAAAAAAAGAGTTTTTTTTTTTTGAAATAAAACTTTGATTTTAAAAATAAAACACTTTTGCTTCTTCAGTTTATCTTATTTCTTTTTTTACAATGATTTCTACTTTTTTTTTGATGATGGAAAGGAAATGAGAAGTTCAAAAATAATTTATAATTGTTACAATTATCTTTTTTGAACTGAAATATTCATTAAATTTAAGTTACTTAACTTATCTACTGAATGATTAGAAACAAACATAAATGCTCAAAGTTCTTATCAGTTTAATCTTTCGAAAAAGTTTGATTTATCAAACGCTTGTAATATAGTATCATTATATTCTGAAAGCATAATTACAAACTAAATTTCAGCAATACCAAATTTGTACTTAAAAAAAAAAACTTAGTGTTCAACAAGATTGACAAATTTTACCAGAAAAAAGTTCTTTGAAAATAAAAAAAAAAAGGAAATAGAAAGTAAATTCATATTATACTTCAATTTTTGACTTAGTTAAATTATTTAAACTTCAATATATGATGTGAATTTTGAAATAACAATCTTCTATATTTTTCTAAAATATTTCAAATTCATTTTCAATTTTTTTCGAATCATTTTTTTTTTTTTTTTTTTTTGCTTAGTTTAATGAGTGGTTACATTAAATTATTCGATGAATTTGACAGACTATAATTTCATTTAGACAATATCATCAAGAATCAAGGACATTTGTTGAGATTTGAGGATAAAAGACGAGACGGGTCATTTTGGTAGAGGACAAAGAAGGGAATAGGTCGAGGTTAAACGGATACTGTAGACAAGGGGTACTGTTTATCACTACCTGATGAATTCAAAATTCACATCAATTTCTTGATTTCTTGAAGTAAAAATGATTTTTACTCTTAAAAAGTAATCTCATGAATGGTCCAATGATGAGATAATTAATTTGCTAAAATAGCTAATTTAATTGTAAATCAGAAAAAAAAAATTACAGTAATAAAACGTAAAATTTAAAAAAATTTAAAAGTAAAATTTTTAAGCTTTCTAAGCATAACTTAGCATAATTAAGAAGTTAAATGATATGTAATTTAGTAATAGCAATGATAATTTTTGAATAAAGAGAAATTGTCATGGACAGACATAAAATTGTCAAATCAATCATTGAGGAACGTTGACAGCAATGCATGAACGATTAAAGAGTAGGCCAGAAGTATCGAACATTCATTGGGCTATGATTACTTCTTGGCTCCATGGCTATACCAAAGACATAAATGAATTTTTCAATAGCAAATGTTCAATTTATTGATTATAACTTACATTTATGCATCAATAATGATGGAACGTTATATGAATCATTGTTAAATGTTAAATTTTAGCTATTAATTAATGTAAATATGAAATTTGTACAGTGATTGAAATCATTTGATAACAGTGAATGATGTTTTAAAATAATATTCACAAAATTAATATTAAAGAAAAAATCTATGTTTAGAATATTTAAAATATAAAGAAACTTAAAAACTAAGTATTAGTTGAATTTGTTATAGGAACATTTTGAGGCCTTTTAAGAGCCTTAAGGCTTTTTCAATCACAATTGTTTGCTATTAAAACAGCACTTCAAAAAAAAAAAAAAAAATTTCCGAGATAAAAGACTGATTAAGCTTTAAAAAAGTAAAGGAAAATAAATTTGAATGTATTTTAGTGATGAGAAAAAAAAAAAAAAGGAATATGAACACAAAAGTGACCACAAAAGAGGCAATCAAAGGAATGGGTAATAAATAGGTTTAACTGAAAAATGGAAGGAAAGAAGGAAGAGGAGAAAGAAAGTTGAAAGAATTTTTAGAAAGAGAAGAGAAGACGAAGAGAAGAGAAGAGGGTTCTTATTAGGTAGA